ATGAACTGTTCGAGCTCCTCGTGGGAGCACGAGGCGGCGCCGATACAGTCATCAATGTAACGGAGGAAGAGGTGGGGTTTAGGGCCGGTGTAGGTACGGAAGAGGGATTGTTCCATGTAACCTACAAAGAGGCAGGCGTAGCTTGGGCCCATGCGGGTACCCATGGCTACCCCCTTTGTCTGTAGGAAGTGGGAGGAATTGAAAGAGAAGTTGTTGAGTGTGAGGACGAGTTCGGCTAAGCGGATGAGGGTATCAGTGGAGGGGGACTGGTCGGGCCTGCGGGACAGGAAGAAGCGGAGGGCCTTAAGGCCATCTGCATGGGGAATGCAGGTGTAGAGGGCAAGTTTCAAAATCTCCCCTCCCCCCACCGCATCCCAAAACCAGTCCAGCTCGTCCCTGCCTCCCTAACTTGTTCTTCCTCCCACCTATCCCCTCCTCCCACCTCAAGCCGCACCTCCATCTCCTACCGACCAACCTCATCCCGCCCCCTTGACCTGTCCGTCCTCCCTGGACTGACCTATCCCCTTCCTAACTCCCTAACTACACTCACCTTTCCTGGCTCCATCCCTGCCTCTTCGACCTGTTTGTTTCCTCTCCACCTATCCTCTCCTCTATCCCTCTTCTATCCGCCTCCCACTCTCTCCCTATTTATTTCAAAACCCCCTTCCCCTCCCCCTTTTCTGTTGAAGGGTCTAGGCCCGAAACGTCAGCCTCTCTGCTCCTATGATGCTGCTTGGCCTGCTGTGTTCATCCAGCCCTGCACCTTGTTGTCTCGGAATATCTGGGCCATTGTTTTTGTTACAGGGGCTGCCTGACCTCCTGAGTAATTCCCAACATTTTCTATTTTTACTGTGTACAGCTCAGGTCATTCCTACCTCTGTCAGACCCATCACTCTGTACAGAAGCTCTGGAGGAAAGCTGGCTCTGTAATCGCTCAATTTCAATATCTTTTATGGTCAACTGTTCCTTCAGATCTTCTATTTCAGCCTGAAGATAAAAGAAAAACAAAATGATCAAAACCTCAAACAGTTTTTCAAAACATCACACAACCGGCAAATTTGTTTCCACTGTTTCCATTGGGGAAAGCTATCCTGACATAAGAAATGTCACAGCTATCTGCCAAAAGGTCAGGTCAATATGAAAATTGTACGTAAAACAGAGTACAAAAGCCTGTAGGGTGGAAGGCTGTTGGACCCAATCTAAGTGACAGATCAGGTCTACCACAAAAGTCTGGGGTAGTCTTAATGATAAAGACTGGGAAACAGATGGATAGGGAATAGGGCAAAAAGAAAAAGGTAGTTGCAGGGAGACATCAGTGGAGGATGCAAAAACAGGAAGAAGAGCGTTGGGCAAGAGAATGGACCCATGTTGTAATTGGTTTTTAGCCACCTCATGACAGATTAGTTTTGACCTTGTGCTTATTACAATGACAACTTTAATTTAGGGCGGGGTGGGCTTAGAGGGAGGAGAGGAAACATGTACATTTCAATCATCTGATTAGTTCAAACTTTCAACCGTTCAGGGTAGATGTAGAATGCACCTGAAAATTAAAATGAATCGTTACGGCCAAAAAGCAAATCCTGTGTGTCGAATACCATAATAAATAAAAGCTAAATGTTATACCTTGCTGACTCATTCATAAATAGTTTTAGAATCTTCTACAATATCATAGTCAAGGTCACCAAATATTGTTGTTCCATAATGGGAACATTCACCTCAGACAACTTCAAACCTTATAGATCATAAAATATTAGTGCGGATGCTCACCTCATTAAACCTTTCAAATACTTCAATGGGAAATTTGTCAATTTTTGCAGGAGTTTCCAAGATTATGACAGACATGGTTATATTTTGGAGGTTAGCTTACATCTTCTTCGATTACGGACATTGATTCCAGGAGTGTGGCCTTCTTATTTCAACTTCCCTCCAACCAAAAAAATCAAATGTAAGAACACTGAATCAGTATTTCCCAATTTGCCTCATCTTTTTCTTTACTCTTTGTAACACTGGTTGCCAGCTGTCGCATGGCTCTTCACCCAGGCTTCCATTTATTGTAGTAAATCTCCAAGGAAACTCAGGAAGAGAAGACTCTCAATCAGCCCCTTGAGATTGTTCTACTAATCATGTTTGATTAGGATCTTCAATCCATCTACTCGCCTTTATTCTATATTCCTTAATAGTCCAGTAAAGTTACATTAACTGCCCACCCATTTCCAATTTCATGAATTAAACTGTACAGTGCTACAAAATCTTCAGTATTAATATTTAGGATTTTCTTTAAGAGAAAACTTTATTTTTTTTTCATAAAAAAACAGTGCTAGCTTTGAATCACTTGGTCATCTCGATCACCTGGCTAAGTCAGACATTCCTGGCTTCGAGTCCTACTTATATATGTTGTATGGGTACTTTATTTTTTAAGACAGTTTACCTTTAAGAACTCCATGTACTGTGTGCATATAAATTTTTGACTTTCCCAGACTTAGTCTGCTTTGGGTTTGCAAGCTGCAAACTGTCAGGTGGTTTGCTGTAATGTCTACTTCAAAATTTATAACATATTTCACTGTTTTAGCTAAGGTTAGAGTCCTTGCTGATTTTTATCTTTTTTCTCTTATCAATTTTAGTTTGGAGCTGGGAACTGTGAACTAAAGATGACTTTGGACTATGGGTAACAGCTTGTGTGAACGGGAAAACAAACCAAAAAAGTATTTGTTTATCCACAACATTAATTGCAGTTTGGCTCCTGATCAAAACGTTCTGCAGACACTTCATTACAGTGAACAGATTTAAACAGATAGCAGAGTTGGCTGTTAAAGAGGTCAGTACCTGGGAATTGGTTCCAGCAAGTGAGAACAAAGAACAGTACAACACAGGAACAGGCCCTTTGGCCCTCTAGACTGCGCTGACACATTTGTCTTTCTGAACTAAAAACATTCTGCTTGTATGCAATCCATATCCCTCTATTCCTGCCTATTCATATATCAGTCAAGGTGCCTCTTAAATGTTGTTATTGTATTCTATGCTTCCATGTCTCTTTTTTCCAGATACATTGGTTTATTTTCATTAGATAACCAAAAACTCACTGTGCTTAGGATTTGTTGCCTAAGACTAGCCTTCACATAAGAGCACGTTTGCAACATGGTGTTGCTAAGCAAGATGGAATATATGAGAGGTTTCAACACTAGAGTATCTCCCATTATATTACACCAAGGAAGTCATCTTTTAGTTTAAAGCTGATATGAATCAAAAGTCAGATTAAGAAGAATCATATTGGATTGTATGTGTGTATAGCGACAGCCTACTTTCTGAACAACGAGCAAGATTGCCAAACACGTAGCAATATGGGAACCACTGATGAAGCCAGGAATTCAATCATTTCAAACTAAAAGCAAATTACTGTGGATGCTGGATATCTGGAATAAAGACAAAGTTCTGGGCAAACTCAGCAGGTCTGGTACCATCTATACAGAGAAAGGATACACTGGCAGAAAAGTCAAACCGGATTCAAAATATTAACTCTGTTTCTCACCACATACGCTGCCAGACCTGCTGAGTTTCTACAGCAACAAGCATTTGTTTTTACTTCAATTGTGTCAATTCTGACGTGAGAGAAATTATAACAGTTCTGAATCAGCTGTATGTTGGAAGAGTTAAACCACTATCAGATTAAAATACTCCATTCAGCTGATGATCCACTGTTCTGGTGCTAAGTTACTACATCATTTATGATGTATAATTCCTGAAATATTAGAACAAAACATCCAACATGCCTCATGAGACAATGGAATGCAGTCACATACTTGGCTCTGTTGCAGTTTGACGACTGAGAAAGCAATAATTAAATTCCAAAAGTAATTACTCTGTGTTTTAACTAGTGATTATTAGTTATGTCACAAACCACATCTGTGAGGAGTTTGAAATAAAATCTTCCAAATATGGCTGGCTTAAAATATTACCAGGAGCTCACAAGTAGTCTCTGAACTGCAGAATATGACATTTAATTGCTAACCTGGTTGGCTCTTTTCACGTTATTGCCAGCCAGGGTTTAGTAGTTAGCACTCAGAGATAGTAGGAACTGCTGACGCTGGAGTCTGAGATAACAAGGTGTGGAGCTGGAGCAACACAGCAGGCCAGGCAGCGTCAGAGGAGCAGGAAAGCTGATGTTTCGGGTCAGGACCCTTCTTCAGAAATGGGGGAGGGGAAGGGGGCTCTGAAATAAAGAGAGAGGGGCGGTGCGGTAATAGAAGGTGGATAGTGGAGCAGATAGGTGGAGAGAAGACGGACAGGTCAAGGAGGCAGGGATGAAGCGAGTAGAGGTGAGTGTAGTTAGGGAGTTGGTATGGGGGTTGGTCAGTGAGGAGAGAGGAGCAGATAGATGGGAGATAGGATGGACAGGTCAAGGAGGTGGGGATGAGAGGGGGGTTGGTCTTGGGATGAGGTCAGGGGTGGGGAGATTTTGAAGCTAGTAAAGTTTCTGGGTGGCGTCGGTGTGACACTGGAGGCGGCCCAGGATGGACACGTCGTCCAGGGAGTGGGAGGGGGAGTTGGAGTGGTTTGCGACTGGGAGGTGTTGTCGTTTGTCACGAACCAAGCGTAGGTGCTCCACAAAGCGATCTCCGAGCCTCCGCTTGATGTCCCAGATGTAGAGGAGGCCACATCGGGAACAGCGGATATAATAGTTAGTAGTTAGTACTCTTGTCTAAAAATCAGAAAGTTGTGGGTTCAAGACCGACTCCTGAGATTTGAGCAGAAAATACAGACCATCATTCCTAGGGTAGTACTGAGAGTGCGCTACACTGTGAGAGCTGCTGTCCGGCTTACTTACCTTCCCACGTGGGATATAAATTGCAAACAAAAACATTGGAGATCTCCGTGATCTCCTCAGACATGGTCATATAGTCATTAACATAGTAAAATACCGTTGATGTTGGAAATCTGAACACAAAAACTGTGAAAAACTCAGCAGTCCAGGCAGCATCTATTTAGAAAAACAAAGTTAATGCTTCAAGTCGATGATCTTTAATCATTAGTCATTATCTACAGATTTGTGGAAGCTTGCTGTGGGCAAACTGGTTGCTGCTTTTCTTATTTAACAACAATGACTACACACAAGGAAAAGAAAAGTACTTTGTTGCCCGTATGTTAAGGTTATTGGGATAGCCAGAGATTGTGAATATAGAAATGCAAGTTTTTATGTTCATACTGCACATCAATGATGTTCAAGAAATATGGAGCCAATGTTATTCAAAAAGTCTTCTGATATTTACAGAAAATAAACAATGCATTTATTCTAGTGTGAAAATGAGTTTTAGTTAGCAATAGATTGGACCACAAGCAACCACATATGGGTCACCTCTACTGTTCAGACATTGTTTGGTACTGCTAGGAAAGTAATGAAGGGACAGGGCAAGTGGCTTGTAAAGTGTACTCCAATGTGTTTCCTAATCTCTAACATTAAAATTAAAAGGAAATGTCCTGAAATTAGCAGACCGGAGCTTCCTGTTAAAGTCTAAGAAAATTGTAAAACAAAGCAGTTGGTAATTTTCATACAACACTGCAGGAAGCAATACTAAACTGAAGTGGTTTCTCTAAATACCCAGTTGGAAGAGCAGAAGGCCATTCAAAGGAATGGAAGGATTTAGAAAAGGAAGGAGATTGCAGACAGTGCTCTACCCCTCCCAAGAACTAAAGAATGGGAAAGTACACTCACAATCACTTCAAATCCTACTGCAGCATGCTAGTTTCAGACAATTCCATTTTCTTTTCCACCTTGCCAAACTTCGACCAAAAATACTTTACAAAATAAAACTAGTGTAATCACTGTAACACAACAGAAAATTAATACTACTTTATTAATTAACAACACCAGGAAGAATATGAAGTTAATAATCTGCTAGCTGATGGCCTAATTTTTGATGTCCAAAAGCTTTTTAAATGAGTCATATTTCCTGCTCATAATTATGATCCCATAATCATTAGTGTTTCATAGTAGGTTACAGTTTTATTCAAGGGGGCTCTAAGTTAACTCAAGCAATATCTAAAGATATCAATTTTCAAAAATTCATAAATGTCTGGCTTTATTCATCCAATGTAAAAGAATCAATCCAAACTATTCTTAAGGTTTATGTGCTTAGCTTGGGTTTCAAAAAAAACCTCAATGGTCTTTCCTCTCCCTATAGGCTGAAGTTCCTTCACGTCACTCATGCGGTACAATTGGCAGCCATGGTTTCACCTGCCTGGGGCCTAGCTTTGGAATTCTCTCCTTAAATCCTATGCTTTTTTTTTAAAAACTTTATCTCCTAATTTATGTTGCTCCTTAAAATCAACCCTCTTTAACCAAGATTTTGGTCATGTCCTCAAATGGCCCAGTGCCAAACTTTCCTTGACAATGGTCTTATGAAGCACCTTAGGATGTATTACTACATTTAAAAGCAACATAAATGCAATTCATTTTTGTTCTGAAAACTGTCAATTGATTTTGTGGTTTAACACAATCCCAACCTTTAGCAGAAGGTCACTAGCTGCTGTTATTTTTGTACAAGACTTCAAATTTGGAGAGCAGATTCAGAAATCAATCCATCAGTAATTGTGAAGAGATGAAATTTTGGACCACGACAACTACTGTTCTCAAAGGCTAACATCTTCCCAAGGTGTTAGTGTTAGACTTTCAGTCTTGCATGATATCTCTTCTCTATTTCTTTGATACCTTTGCTGCTCTCATATCCTCCATAAACTCCAAGCCATCTGTCTCATGTCAGTTCCATCATGAACCTGCATTCCCTGACCCTCGCTGAATTATGTTAAAATTCTCAGCCTTATCTTTAAATCATCTCATAACTTCATCCCAATTGATTCCCGAGGGCTGATATGTGAACTGATCGACATAGTCTTAAAAATCTGTAAGAGTTCAATAAGGTAGACATTAAGATTTTTCCACTTCTGAGGGAGACCATTACAAGGGAACCACTAACAAAGGAACAAAAACAAAGTTGCTGGAAAAGCTCAGCAGGTCTGGCAGCATCTGTGAAGGAAAAAACAGAGTTAATGTTTCGGGTCCGGTGACCCTTCCTCAGAACTTTTTCCAGAACCTCAGGACCAGTTCTAAGGAAGGGTCACCAGACCTGAAATGTTAACTCTGTTTTTCCCTTCACAGATGCTGCCAGACTGCCCGAGCTTTTGCAGCAACTTTGTTTTTGTTCCTGATTCACAGCATCCGCAGTTCTTTCGGTTTTTAACCGCAAATAAAGGACAGTCACTGTCCAAAACTGTCAAACCCAAAGTGAGTTCAAAAGGACTTTCTTTATGCAGAGGGCGACAAGAATGTGGAATGCACTACCACATTTAAAAAGATGCTGGATAAACATGAGGGAGAAAGGAATATAAAAATCTGATTGAGTGGGATGATGATATGGAGCATAAATGTCAGTGGGCCAAATGGACGATTTCTGCGCGTGCTAAGTCATTCTAGGAGAAGGCAAAGCAGAACTTTTCTGGGGACAGGCAGTAAGCATGGCCCTGCCAAATACCCTCATCCCAAGGGAAAGTTAAAAAGCACACCACAGAATTAGGGAATTAACACTTTGACACTATTAATGAAAGTGAAATGATCAAATCAGAATACTCAGCACAGTCACACTTGTCAAAACATGTTGTGGAACAACTGTGACAAATGGAAAACACATTTACCTTTGTGGCTGCCAACTTGTGTTCATACTGAATCTTTTCATCCTCTAGCTCTTCCACTTTAGATTTCAGGCTTCGTAATTCCCCAAGCAAGTTCTGTAATGTCAGCAAAGTACGAGTGGTGTAAACAATAAAATTAAAAAATAGTTGAATAACTCACATAACCCAAAATCTGGCCTGTTGAGCTATTTAAGGATTTAATTATTGACTGGAATCGAAAAGGTGAAGATTAGTTAGGTTTGATCCCCATAGAGGAATCCTGAAATTGAATCTCAGGACGGAAATGACTATTATGAGGGGGCATAATTTTAAGGTGATTGGAGAATGGTAGGGGACAGATGTCAGAGGTAGGTTCTTTACACAGAGAGTGGTGGGTGTGTGGAATGCGCTGCCGGCAGTGGTAGCGGAGTCAGATACATTAGAGACATTTAAGCGACTCTTGGATAGGCACATGGAGGATAGTATAATGTAGGGTATGCAGGGTAGTTTGACCTGAGAGTAGGATAATAGGTCGGCACCACATCGTGGGCAGAAGGGCCTGTACTGTTCTACATTCTTCCTACGTTCTACATTCTTTCTACGTTCTAATTGGTTGCTCAATGATTAGAGAACTGGATAAAAACAAAAGTGCATTTGTATGGTGCCTTTTGCAATGCTAGAAGTCCCCAAAGCATTTTACAGCCAACAAAGTGCACATTTGTGCGCAGCAAGATCTCACAAATGACAATGGGATTGTGACCAAAAAAAATTTGGTTTTGGTGGTGTTGATACACCAATTAATATAGACCAAGAGCATCTCAGAGTTCCAATAGTGCCACAGAATCTGACACATACATCTGACAAGGGAGATTCTCATCATAACATCTCATCTAAAAGCCAACATCTCTGACAATGCAGCACACTGTCTGTACTAGGAGTGTCAGCCTACATTTTGTGCTCAGTCCCAGGATTGGATCTGAACCAACAAACTTCTGACTCAGAGGAGAGTGTATTAGGGGAAACAGGATCACAGAAGAAACAACAATACATACAACGGGCTGAAGGGTGATTCTCAAAATTGTTATAAACAAAGTATCATGTGTAAAATGCTTGGGAAGGTCCTCAGTGGAGGGGGTTAATGGTACACCATGTCAACATGTACAGAGAATGAAAATTCTATGCGAAATAAAATTATTTCACTTATTGCAAGATATGCTCAGTGTAGTTATTTAGCATCTCTTTAGGCATGTTTGGACTCCTTTGGTCTCAGCTGGAAAATATAGTGTTCAATTCGGGACACTTCAGAAAATATGTAAAGGCCTTGATAAGGATGCAAAGAGCGTTACCAGGCTGCTTGTTGCCAGGAATGAGGCATTACAGTTAAAAAGAAAGATTGGAAAAATTAAGCCTGTTCTGGCTTAAGAGATGACCTGACAGTAATTTTCCAAAACGTTGAGAGGTGTTGATAAAAACAGGGAAATTACTTCTTCTTGAGATTGAATCAGTGACCAAAAGGGAATAGATTTAAACTATTCGACAACAGCTTTGGAGGAGAGATTAGAATTGTTCTCACACAGCTGTCAAGATGTGGAGTGCTCCACCTCAGAACATGGTGGAAACTGATTCCACAAATAGTTTTAAAAAGGAGCTACATGGACCCTTGAGAATGAAGTACTTGAGAGATTTACAGACAAAAAGCAGGATGTGGGACTAAGGACAACTATTTCTTCAAAGAACTAGTAAATGCACCCAGGGCATAAGGATGTCCCACTGTGACAAAGGTTTCTATGACGTTTTCCCCAATTTCACCTCCCCTAAAACTACTTTACTACTACTACTCCCCTACTACGTTAAGCCTGCTAAATAGCACGCCTGCCGACATGGATCTTTTCTTCTGAAGAAAATCATGTTTTGCTTCTGGCTGCTCTTTTTCAGGGTCATACAAGCTCAACTTAGTAGCCATTTCAGCAATTAACTCACCAGGTAGCTCATCTAATTATTTAACTTTAAGCCACATGATTTTTTGGGAAATGCTGATTTGACCCACCGATAAAGAAAATGAAATTCAGACCATTAAAAAAGAAACAACCCTTTCAAATCTATTTTAGGATACAAGTTCTCAGATAATCTTATGAACTTTCATCGCATAATGCAACTCATTCCGATGCCATAAAAGATGATAAAGAATAAGAAAAGCGAATGTTACACACAGAGTAAAAAGCACATGACACTCAGCAACACAGACCCATAGCCAGGAAAGGTACAGAAATAATATTTATCACCTCCAATGGATTTACATTCATGACCTCACGGAACCTGGATGTTTGGGGATTTAGTGCGAAAATGTACCATTTCAAATCAAAATTTAAAAAAAAAATCAAATCCAGTTCTGACTATATTTGCTCTCATGATGAAAAAGTTGAGTTGACTGTTATTTTGGAGACAGGTTATTTTTCAATTACCTTTTGCATTTTTATAGTTTCTGAACTTTACACTCCACTAAGCTCATACTGAAACAAGTCACAAGATGAAAGAATTCAGTGAGGCCGCAATGCCCAACCTCTACCAACTCCTCCTCCCTGTGCTTTTGCCTCTGGGAGGTTATAAAAATATCACGTGGCGGAAACCAGCTTGGATAACACATTGATAATTGATGTAAATTTCCAACTGAGGCACATTGAATCAATTAAGGCGTTGCTGAAACCCAGAACACTCCCTGCAAGCCATTAGCTTTGAAGCTAATTCTAAGCTTTAAAAGTCATGAACTAAATAATGTATTTATTCTTAATAAAATTTACACAGAAATTGGAGACAATAGTTGAGGTAAACTCAAGTGGGAGAGCTTATAGCTTGCAGTTGTGCCCAAATGTGCTTCAGATTACACAGGTTGGGTTACAGATCAAGTTGCCATGAATATTAATTTGCATAAACGCTGGTGTAAAATCTTACAAGAGAGTGGAATCAGGTTGAGTAATAGTTTATCCATTCCATTGGACCCGTTGAGAGGTTTAAGGAGAGTAAGGTGGGCAGTTCTTTAGTCATAGAACCCCTACAGCGTGGAATCAGACCATTCAGCCCATCGAGTCCACACCAACCCTCCGAAGAGCATCCCACCCAGACCCCACCCTGGCATTTCCCACCCTAGACACTATGGGCAGTTTAGCACAGCCAAACCACCTAACCTGCACATCTTTGGATTCTGGGAGGAAACCGGAGCACCTGGAGGAAACCCACTCAGACACGGGGAGCATGTGCAAACTCCACACAGACAGTCGCCCGATGGTGGAATCAAATCTGGGTCCCTGGTGCTGTGAGGCAACAGTGCTAACCACTGAGCCACAATGCTGCCCCAGAAATAACCAAATCAGGAAAATAAATAGTTAATAACCATATCCAACATATCTGTGCATGCAATTTAAAAACAAAATGACTGAATTTCTTTTAAAATAAAACATATTGAGCAATTTAATTATCAGTTTCTTAGTGAATCGACCATTTTAAAAATGTTAATGTGTGCTACTCTTGTCTGCGGAGGTCTTGTGACATAATGAATGACATCCCCACCTCTGGGCCTGAAACTCAAGAGTTCAAATTCCATCCCAGGAATTCATAACCAAAGAAGGTTTGTTCATAATGCAGTCAAAAGATTGAGTATTGACCTGCAAGTACTTTTAACATACCAACAGCAGAAGAAAAGAGCAGGAGAGATTATGGTAAACTGCATTATGGTAAACTGCATGATGGCACGAGCATTGGAACCTCACTGTGCAAATGTGCATGCTGCTACAGCAACTCAGTCTCAAGAGAAATGTAACACACCAACACCACACTTGCCTGTGAGAAAATAAACATCATTTGAAGAGTGTTGTGTAATCTTGCAAGTTCAATCTAGGGGCACCATTAGTTTTGTGGGTACGGCCTGAAGCAGGCCAATTGAAATGTAAACCAGTCTAAGGGAAATATAAGTGCCAATGATTTTGGGATGCAAGTAACGTACTCTTAAAACTTCTATTTTTTAAGTTCATTTTGCTGATTCTGCATGGATTTCGTCAATGTCACTGGTGCAAATGAATAGAAACCCAAGCGCTCAAATTTCTGACATGGAACAGATCAACAGAAAATAGAGTGGAACACTAGCACCATTGTGACACAGGTCTGAGATGTCTACTTTAAAGTCCCCGATTCAGGAAACATCTTGAACACTTGGTTCAGTTCAAGTCACTGAAGCGTAAGGAAACATTTGCGAGCCCTGGAGATTATGTCGAAAAAGCAGATGAGGCTGATTTTCAGGACTAACAGCAATGTATTTTCATTGGGCAAGGCATCAGGAAATAACTGCATGCATTTATTTAGAGCCCTTAACTTTGAAAAGTACACCAAGCATTTCACAGGAGATCTGTCACTCAAAAATTGAGACAGCCAAAGCTGAAGCAATTAGGAGTGGTAACTCACTTTGGCATAAGAGGTAGGTTTGAAAGCAATCTTGAGGAGGAGGAAGGTGAACAGGAAATCGTTAGGGAAGAGGATTCCAGATTTTAGGACTATCAGTGGTGGACTGAAGGAAGTGGGATTACACATTCATTACTGGAGCACAGAGAACTTGGAGGGTATTGGGACTGAATGAGGTTACAGAAACATAGATGGCCAAGGTAGTGGATGGATTTAAAAACAGGGATGATGATTTTAATTTGAAGACTTTGGTGGACTGGTGGGCCATGCAAGTCACTGAGTTTTGGGGCAATGGGTGCTTTGGCTTAATATGCGTTAGGATACAGCCAGAAACTTGGGTGACCTCAAGTTTACGATGTGGCATCCCAGCTGAAGTGTCGTGGAATAGTCAAGTCTAGAGATACATGAGGCATAGTTGAAGGTTTCAACAGCGGCCAAACTCATGGAGGGGCTGAGTCCAGCAATACTATGGTGGAAATAGGTAGTCTTAGACAGTTGCTAGGGAAGAGACAGGAGTCTCTAGTTAGAGAACCATGTTTCAAATGAGGACTGAAAACAATAGCTTGAGTTTTGTCAATGTACAATTGGAGAAAGTTTCTACTCAATCAGCATAAGCAGTGCGAGAATTTAGAGACAGTTGGTAGAGTTGGGAGTTGCTAATGAGGTAGAACTGAGTTTTATCGTATTAAATGCAGAAACTGATGTTATACCTTTGGAATTATATGGGCTTCTTCTGTGTTTAAAAGTTCCATGATTCTAGAAAAAGGTGAGATCCATTGTGTGTGTTGTACGTGCATCTTGCGTTTAAGAACTCCATGTGTTGCCCACGTACACTATTGCAATGCTAGCTAGCCTGAACCTGCAAACTGCACACACACAAATCAATTGATTTGCTTTAATGTCTGTTACATAACTTGTAACCTCTGTTTTACTGCTTTACATAAACTAACCCACAGGATTAATCAATCCCTGATGACCAAATGTTTATTAAACCATCATTAATAGCATGGCATGGTGAAAAGCATGCGAAAACATTGTATTGATTCTACCTGAACAGTCAGTAAGCAATTTACATTACGGTTAGAATAGATCATAATCAACCATCTTTAACAATGCTTAAGTGCATGAGATAACCCGCAATGTATTTTTTGTTACGGTGTCAGAAAGTGCTGAAACGTAGCTTGCTGGGATGCAGATCAATCCTCATCAAAAGGCTAGTTAATGAGGCCCTTGTAAAAGGCAAGAGATCAACATGTATGATGGATTGATGGGAACCAGGGGAAGATCAAAGCCATAATGTCGGAATGCGCATAAAATTGCTTAGCTTAAAATGGGTCATAACAGAACTAACATAATTTAAAATGTTAAACAGCATTCAGGGCTATGTTTAACAGCTGGGAACAAACTTTTACAGACCTAAACCTGATGAATAGCAGCCAAAAAGCTAAACAGAATAGACCATGTAAGACAACTCAGCCAGATTAAACTTTGGCATTCATAAATTGGAATCTATGGACTACTTTGTGAGGTGATGCAGAGAAAACAGCTCATTTTGTGATGTTGCAGATGGGAAGCTAGCAAATAGAATTGTTGAGTTAGTAATTGGATCAACCCCGATGGAAGCTTTCTAGATAGATTTTCTAGACAGAGTGAAGTTTTATAGTGTTGACGAGTGACTGAAGGTTGGAAACAAGCATGAAGCATTCAATCACAGGACAACAAACCTTACAGAAGCAGAATACAAATTTGACATTTGGCACAATTACTAAAACGTCCAAACATAGCAATATAATGGTGGCCAACTGCATCTAAAAAAATTCTCAGCTTTCAATCAATATTTCAAGGCATGTGAAAGAAAGACTATTAGCTAATGCAGTGCACTAGAGAAAATGCTAATGCAACTACAAAGAGCGTGCATTGACCCTGACATACTGTGCAAAAGGAATACCTTCAAGCTGTAATAAAGGCTATCAGGTATCCCACTAGAAGCGTGTCTTGTTAGAACTCTTTCTTTCGAATATCATTGCCAGCATGCAATTCTGAAAGGACAATCTGGAACAAAACTTGGCTGTAACATGTCAGGGTAAGCAAACTCAAGGACAACAACTGCAGCCCATGAAAGAAACTCTTGACAACAGAAAGAAGGGTGACAGGCAAGATGACTGCAATTAATCACGCATCCTTGCCATGAGATCCCAGCACATCAGCAAATTACTGATTTCATTGAAATTCAACGGCTTGCTTGTTATTCTAAATGGCTAAACTTCCTCTTGAAATGGAAAGTCATGAGTATTTGCCTCTAGGAAAGTTTACCGGTAAAGATTTCATGTATCGTGTGCGCACAATGTTGCAACTCTGACTGACAGTAAGTCTGTTGTGGATCTGCAAGCTGTACACACTGAAATCAATTGATTTGTTATGTTAGCAGCTTCATCACGTAATTTTTTTTACTACAGTAAACAGACTAACCCATGAAGATAATCAATCCCCAATGAACAAACGTTTATGAGAACATGATCATTTACAGGATATTGTGTACAGTGTGATCCCAAAACAGCTGGGGGTACAGTTTTAAGGTGAGAGGACAGAGATTTTAAAAAAACATGAGGGGCATTTTTTTTTTTTTAAACACAGAGGGTGGTTTGCATGTGGAATGAACTTCCTGAGGAAGTGGTGGATGTAGGTACAATTACAACGTTTAAAAGACATTTGGAGAAGTACATGAATAGGAAAGGTTTGGAGGGATTATGGGCCAGGAGCAGGCAGATGGGACTAGTTTAGTTTGGGATTATGGTCAGTGTGGACTGATTGAACTGAAGGGTCTGTTTCCATGTTGTATGACTGGACAATCAGTTATCGGACATCATGTGCAAGTTTAATCCATTGAACATGTGTAAAACATCTGGATTCAGATGACAAGCTTTATTTTTTGAATAGATGCATTCAAGTTTTTTTTGATGAGAGCCACCTGCTGCACAAACATAAAGCTAGCTAAAACCATCAAACCATCGGTCTCTTCACTGAATTTTAACATCAACACTAAACTCTGTCAGACCAAAATCAACATTATTTCACAGGAGTTGTCATCAGCAAGACAGTAGGTATTCCCTCAAGATAAATTTTGGCTCCAGGCAGTGAGATTCACAGTAGTCTTCAGAGTATATCCACACGCCAAATCTCAATGGAAGCAGACCATATTGCACAACAGACTTGGACACCAGTCGAATTAGCGTTTGCACAGAACACAAGGTGGCCTCATGACAAAGTGCTTATTTCAATTTTAAACCAGCACCTATTTTTTTTGAAATTGATTTAATTGAATGATCCCAACTTGACACCAGTATGCGTACAACTGACTGAGTTTAATAAACAAACTTCCGTTTAAACATGTCACATCATGTCGTTGGTACATTTGAAGTGTGGTTGCTTTCGAGCATGGGAAGATTCATCCGAAATGTACACCTAGTATAATATCTGCAAAGACTATTTTTGTAGGAAGAAATTTAAAAAACCTGGTTCCTTAAAAATTGCTTGCAGTGCATACAGAATTGCCAAATCTGGAAAGTACAGTGACTTGCATTTCAGAGAATATACAGCATTGAAGGAGGCAATTTCACCCATTCTGCCTGTACTAGCTCTTTGAAAGAGCTATCCAATCAGCGTTACTCACCCTGCTCTTTTCCCCATCCTTCTAAAAAGTTTTCTTCCTCTTCAAGTATTCCTCCAAATCCCTATTGAAAATCACTACTGAATTTGCTTCCACCATCCTTTAAGGCAATGCATTCCAGATCCTAATTCAGTGTGTAAAAACGGTCTATTCTTTGAGAATTTTGGCCAATTACTTGGTGTTTACGCCTTCTTGTAATGACAACTGTTTTGCCTTATTCACTCTACTAATACCCTTCATGATTTTCAACAAACCTAATAAATGTCATCACAACCTTAGCGGCTGTCCAATCACAATTTCTTTCACCTCTCCAAATGATCAAACGTAGCTAGAAATTTCATCACAGTATCAATTTAGAACACAGATGACAATAACCAAGCACAGTGCTGTTGGGTGCATTCCCTCAATTTCTTCCTTGGACAAGGATCTCGAACTGTTTGTCATAAGAACATCTGCAAGATTGCGGCCCTCAGTTTTGCCTTCAAAGGCAGGCAAGCTTAGGAATCAAGTTCCTGAGAATGATTCATTCTGTCTCAGGCAGAGAGTGCAAGTGGTTCAAATTTGGAGCTTTTTATCCTTTGGAAGTGGCCAACTTCTATGCATCGTGGCTGCCTCTTCCCAGTGACCTTCACAGCAGCGACTGACAGCTCTGTTGTCAGACTACACCCTCTGTGATTTGGCCATATAGGACAGAATCTCATTACTACATCTATTGCGTAGTCAAGTTGGATCTAAATTTCATTTAAAGTAACTGAACTAAGCGCCTCACGGCACGTCAGATGAATATGTTAGTGAGCCACAGTAGAAGACAGGAGGATAACTATTTGGTCAAAGAGATAGGTTTTAAGGATCTTCTTCAAGAAGAGAGCAAGGTAGAGAGATGGAGAGATTTATGGAGGGAATATTATGGTGTAAGTAATGCTCAAGAGCCCAGAACGGAAAGAACACCGTAGTTCTCAGGGTTCAACATTTGGAGGAGACTGAAGAGAGGAGGAGGGGTAAAGTCAGAGACATTTTAAAACAGAAACCAGAATTTTAACATCAAGGGGGTGCTGAACCATGAGGTAGTGAGAATCAGGAATGTAAGGGTAATTGATGAGTGGGATTTGGTGCAAGTTCAGTCTAAGTTGGGAGGCTAGTCAGGAAAGTGTTAGAACAGTAAAGTCTGGGGTAATAAAATCATACAGCAAAATTATGGCTAACCTCACTTTTCTGCAACTCATCACATTCCCGGTGGTCCTTCTCTAATCCAGCCAGTTTAATTTTCAGACTTGAAACCTCAGCCATTAGATCCAGTTTCTGGCTCTCCAGTGCTGTCCTGCTCAGCAGCTCCTAGAAACAGCAGGAAGTGACATTTTCAGTCTCAAAATTCATTTCCATTTGCACATCAAATCCCAGAAACTTAAATGGATTTACTTCCAAAAGACCAAGTGCAATTGATACCCAAAGGGCCTGGCCATAGTTTGTGGGCTGACTCAGCAACTTCACTCCACAAGTCCTCCAGAGCTTTTAGGTACCAGCATTGGGTTGCGGGCATAGAACAGAAGACAAAGGACACTGCTTTGTTGTTCTTGTTGAACAGTATCAGAGAAGACAGAGCTAAAAGAAAGGGGTTTTTTAATGTTGATTGGACAATGAGTCTTTGTTCCGTGTTACACTAGTATTTGTTAGTATAATCTTCCTGAATGCACAGAGGCAAAGCTGTTTATAAATTGCGTGTTTTATTTTTGGTGCTGGAGGAGGTGCCAGAGAAGGATGGAAACAAGTCAAGCAAAAATTGAAGCTTGATGAAAGAAAAAAGAGAGTATTTATCAGAATCTAACTCACTGCTGGCTAAACACTTGCCTCTTTCCCTGCCATTACCAACTTCTGTACCATGTTTCAACATCTGGATGAGCTTTCTCTTCTTAAAAATAAAATTATTCAAAAGATGTGTGTGTTATTGGCAAGGTCAGCATTTAGAGCTGACATCTAATGGTCCTTGAGAGGGAATGTGAAGCTGCTTTCTTGAGCTGCTTCAGTCCACATGCTGCAAGTGTACACACAATGCACAGGAATTGGATTTTGACACAGCAAAAGGACAGTGATATCATTCCAAATCAGACTGGGAGCTGTTTTCTCCTATTCATTTGTGGGATGTAGGCGTCGCTGGCTGGCCAGCATTTCTTGTCCACCTCTAGTTGCCCTTGAGAAGGTGTTGGTGAGCTGCCGCCTTGAACCGCTGCAATCCTCCTGCTGTGGGTTGACCCACAATGCCAGTAAAGGAGCGAATTTCAGGATTTTGAGCCAGTGACACTGAAGGAACAGTGAAATATTTCCAAATCAGGGTGGTGAGTGGCTTGGAGGGGAACTTGAAGGTGAACTTGTCAACATCCATTTGGAGTTCGACACTGTTCTCCTCACAGTTTACAATGCTTCTAAGTTTTGTATCAGAGTTCCCATATGTCTCATGCCCTTGTCCTTCTAGATGGAAGTGGTCGTTAGTTTGGAAATTGCTGTCTGAGGATCTTTGGTGAATTTCTGCAGTGCATCTTGTAGATAGTACACACTGCTGCTACTGGGTGTCGGTGGTGGAGAGTGGATGCTTGTGGATGTAGTGCCAATCAAGCGAGCTGCTTTTTCCTGGATGGTGTCAAGCTTCGAGTGTTGTGGGTGCTGCACTCATCCAGGCAAGTGGGGAATATTCCATCACACTCCTGACTTGTGCCTTGTAGGTGGAGGACAGGCTTTGAGGAGTCAGGAGGTGAGTTACTTGCCGCAGTATTCCTAGCTTCTGGCCTGCTCTTGTAGCCACTGTGTTAATATGGTGAGTCAATTTGAGTTTTTGGTCAATGATAACTCCCAGGGATGTTGACAGTGGGGGATTCAGCGATGGTAACACTGTTGAATATCAAGGGGTGGTGGTTAGATTCTCTTATTGGTGATGGTCATAGCCTGGCTTTTATGTGGCATGAATGTCACTTGCCACTTGTCAGTCTAAACCTGGATACTGACCAAATCCTGTTGCATTTGAACACAGACTGCTTCAGTATCTGAGGGGTCACGAACGGTGCTGAACATTGTGCAATCATCAGCAAACATCCCCACTTCTGATCTTATGATGTTTTTGTTCCTGATTTACAGCATCCACAGTTCTTTTGGTTTCTAAGAGAGAGGGGCAAATGTTTTTCCAGCAGGGAGTTAGATTCTTATAAACACCCTTGTTCAAAAAAGGTTGCAAGGAAATGCCCAGCCATCACCGACTAGCCAGTTTAACCTCAGTGGTGGGAAAGCTTCTTGAGACGGTTATTCAAATTAGAATTAAGAGTCATGTGGAAAGATTTGGGTTAATTAGGAGCAGCCACTACATTTTTCTTCAAAGAAATTTGCGCTTAGCTAACTTGGAGGTTTTTTCCTGAAGAGATAACAGAGAGAAATGACGTGGGTAATGCTGTTGACGTAGTGTGCAAGAACATCCAAAAGGCGTTCAATACAGTGTCATATAAAAGACTTGTAAGAAAAGTTATAGCTGATGGAATAAATGGGATAGTAGCAATCTGGATACAAAATTGACTGACGGATAGGAAACAAAGAGTAATGGTCAATGGATAATGTTCAGGCTGGAGGAAATTTTATAATGATTTCCCCAGGGGTCAGTTTTGGGACTCTTGCTTTTACTAATATAGATTAATTATCTCAGTCCTGATGTGTATGGAACAGTTTCCACATTTACACTGATACAAAACTTAGAAGCATTATAAAACTGTAGAACTCCAAATGGATGTTGACAAGTTGGTGAAGTGATCAGATAAGATGGAGTTCAATGTGAAGGGGTGTGATGTGATGCATGTTGGTAGCAAGAATACAGGATAGAGCATAAAATAAAGGATGCTATTTTAAAGGGTGTGCAGGAGCTGACAGAACTGGATAGATATGTGCATAGGTCACAAAATGTGGCAGGGCAGATCAAACAACAAGTTAATTAAACAGTATCCTAACTTTTATTAACGGGGCATGGAGTAAAAGGAGAAAGGAGGTTATGCTGAACTTGGATAATTGGAGTCTTTTTCCTAATGTAGAAATCTATTAGTAGGGGATGTAGGTTTAAGGTAAAAGGGGTGCGTTTAAAGGGGATGAGAAAGGCAAATGTTTGATACACAGAGGGTGGTAAGTGCCTGGAATGTGCTGCCAGAGGAGGTGGCAGAGGCAGACACAACAGCTATGTTTAAGAGGTATCATGACAGATATAGGAATAGGCAGGGAATAGAGGGATATGGACCATGTAGAGGCAGAAGGTTTTAAGTTTGGAAAGTCATGTGTCAGCGCAATCCTGGTGGGCCGAATGGGCTGTTCCTGTGCTGTACCTGGTTTTTGTACATTACACTTGTCGGACCTTGGATGGAGCATTATCTACAGTTTTGCATAGCACACTTTAGGATGGATTCAGCAAGGGAAGTAGGTGGCAGGGCTATAACAAGAGATAAATCTGACTAGAACTGTAGAGACATGATAATTTAAATGCTGACATGGACTGGTTGGGCTGAATGGTCCGTTTGTGCTGTAATCTGAGTATTTTGAAGAACTTTAACTAATGGTGCAGTAGCACTAAAAAGAGCTCTTCAAGGTCCCCAAAAGCTGCTCAGATTCAAACGCAGAGGAAGTGGTTGAGGCTAAGGTTTTAATCATTCAGATCTACTGCGTTGAGGAATGGGTGGGAAAAAAACCTCCAAAAAAACAAAAAACAAAAATACTTTCAATTCCAGTCTTAATTCCCTTTCCTGAACTGCAAAACAATTCATTTCTTATATTAAAAAGAACAAAGAACTGCAGATACTGGAACAAAGAAACAAAAAGCAGAAATTGCTGGAAAAACTCAGTAGGTCTAGCAACATCTGAAGAGCAAAAGCAAAGTTAATCTTTTGGCTTCAGTGACCCTTCTTCATTACTTATACTCTGCTTAATATTGCGGTATTTCCTTCAATGTCACGTGAAATTCTTCAGTGTTATTGACTTCAATGGTCACTTATAAACTCAATCTGTTGCCTCCATTCATTTTAACTTTTTCATGTGTTGTTTTCAACTGATTATTCTACAGTGAGCCATGGCTCAATTGGTAGCATTCTTACCCAAGCGACAAGATGGGAGGATAGAACTCTAGAGACCCCAGCTCCATAATCCAGGCCGAGACCCCCAGCACAATACTGGCACAGAGTGCTGTACAGTCAGCTATGCTCAACTGTAGAGGTGGCACTGAATCAAGACACTGTCTGACCTCTCTATTGGACAAGCAAGATTTTGTGGCACAATTTTGATTAGATTTATTATTGTCATATGTGTGGAGATACAGTGAAAGGTAATGTTTTGCATGCTGTACAGGCAGATTGTACCATACAAGGTGCATCAAGGTAGCAGGCCAGAGTGAAGAATCAGTGTAACAGCCAAAGAGAAGGTGCAGAGAGAGGGAGATCAACATCAAAAATTTGAGAGGTCCATTCAAAAGTCTGATAAAAACAGGGAAGAATCTGTTCGCACATGTATTCAAACTTTTATATATTCTGCCTGATTTTTTTGTAGGGGGGGATGCGAAGGGAGGAGAGGATAACCAGGGTGGGAGGACGCTTTGATTATGTTGGTTGCTTTGCTGGGGCAACAGGAAGAATAGATGGAGTGAATGTATAGAAGGGAATTCTCCACCATTTCCTGGCCAATATTTACCCCCGAAGCAACAGATAGATTATCTGGATATCTTTGCCTTGCTCTTTGTGGGATCTTGCCGCATGCAAATCGGTTACCAGATTTCCTACAATAGTGACTGCACTTCAAAAGCACCTTGGAACATTCTGAAGTTATAAAACAAGAAATGCACATTCTTCTAGTCATTATAGATTTGAACATTTGTACAATGGGAACGTAGCATGGAAAATCCCCAATTTCCACTGATTTTGAAAATTCCTGATCCATGAGGATGAACTGCAAACTCATGAGAAACTGTCAGCAACTTCCCTCCCACAAAACAGCAAAACTTAAGCAAAACATCTGCTTTCAAACTGCTTCAAATAAAGTGACACAAATGCCTCACCCCTCACTTCCTCCTCGGATTTATCCTCGGACAGAGTCCACCACATCCAGTATGTACACAAACTGGGGTGAAGCAAGGCTGCGTTGTCTCCCTGAAGCTCTTTGGCATCTTTCTTGCCCTATCTCATGAAGATTTCCGCTAGAGTGGAGTTCCTCTATGGGGACAAGCAGGAAACTGTTCAATCTGTGCCTCCTCCAGTCAAAAACCAAGATTGACTCTGGTCATCGAGCTGCAGTATGTGGCCAGCTGCTGGATTCATGGAGCAGTACGAGAG